TTATCATGATTGATTGTCTCCCACCTGTGAGTATGTTATCTGTCTCTTATACACATCTAGATGTGTATAAGAGACAGCCTTTTAAACTGCTCAAAATTACTCTTTAAATAGAGCATGTTTTAGAATATTATACTTTTCAATCAGAACCGCGCGTGCTTCGTGAGGGTCAAAGTACGGCGGATCACCTAACTCGTCCTCAGTGACGAGTTCAAATCTAGTTCATTTTAATTTGTGATGAATGGAAGTAAACTGCTTTTTAAATAGGCATCGTAATAACAAGTTGCCAGTACTACAAGTTGCCTAGTAATAGTGAATCTCTGAAAAATTTTCTCATAAGTAGGTTGTTCCCACGATGTTAGACAAGCCCTGCATACTGATCACTACTGATGGTGCTGCTAAGTGGTGAGAATTGTTAGAGTCAACAGGTTTGCTCGGTACAAATACCCCCATGGTACTTCATGTGCGATGGCTCTAGTGATAATTGAGTTGTTTGCCTGTTATTTTAACAAAGCGTTGCTTTCTTTTATGAATTAAGTTTTAATTGTGTGTCATTTCTTTCGATCGGTTGGACATCCTACCTCATCTCGCCCTCGTGTTTAGTGTGTCTCGTGCACGCTTAGTAGGCCTATAACCATGGAGGAAATTTCCATTTGGGTGATTTTGCATCAGCTACATGGAGAATGGGCATGTTTTGGCCTTATCCAATGTAAACAACATAACCAATGGGACGTTTATTTCTACTTTTATTTTATCAATGAATTGGGCTTTACATTAAATAAATCCTTGGTTTTAGAGTCAGGTAGGCCCTATTTCATGTTTTAATTATGTTTCACATGGTGCCTGTCGGCAGCCTGTCACTGTCATCGTCAGTTAGTACAGTGCCGGTGGGGGATAGGCCTACGCGACACCGATCGTTCAGTACAGTAGAAGGAAATTTCTTTTGTAAATAATTCTCAAGAAAACTGCCAAAAACGACGAGGATTGTGTCCCGTTGTACTGCCCAATCACCACCAGAAGAAGCCCACTGTAAATAAGTCATCTTCGGACTTTCGTGGGTTATCTTGGTGTTTACACCAAATAAATCCATCCATCAATGATGTTTATCTGTGGATTCGCCAACGTGATGGCCCTACATGAATACCAGGGTCAAAAACATAAAAAAATATATTTCCCTCAATTTTTTTTACACAAACATTGTATTGTTTCTATTTTTAGATGATAAGCTATTTACTGGTGGCTCAGCAAGGGTGGAGAGAGATTATATCATCTGTCGCATACCGTTTGATGGTGAGGGTTATCCCAGTATCAACAGAATCTGCACTTTACCTGAGTCAGAATTTCTGAATAGTAAGTGGCATAGAAAAGAAACTTTTCTTTACACTATATACAATAACTTACTAAAGATTACTCAAGTTGTGGCTATTTTAATAGCCACAACTTGAGATGTAGTTTAGTTGGGAGCAAAATATCAACTATTCATCTAGTATTAAAACCCCATTCCCGGCAAAATTTCAGTTTTTAAGAAAAATCTAATTTTTGTATAATGTTATAAAGATTTATAAATATAATACGGAATTGCTAGTTTAACTGAATTTAGACATTCCTAAGAATGAA